CAACTCAAAAAAAAAAAAAAAAAAAAGCTGTTATCATAGACATTTTAAAACCTATATAAAAGTAGAGAGAATAGTTTAATGATCACCCATGTATTCATTACCCAGCTTCAGCAATTATGAACTCTTGGCCAATTATATTACATCTACACCCCTCTGTCTTCCTCAACCAGTCTCTACCCTGTCCCTCTGGGCTGTTTTGAAGAAAATCAAGACATAATGTTATTGCATTTACCAGAATGAAACTAGACCCCCAGCTCTCATCATATATAAAAACCAACTCAAGATGGATTAAAGACTTAAATGGAAAACTTGGAACTATAAAACTACTAGAAGAAAACATAGGTAAACTGCATGACATTGGTCTAGGCAATGATTTTTTGGGTGTGACCTCAAAGTACTGGTAACAAAAGCAAAAATAGACAAATGGGATTATATCAAACTAGAAAGTTTCTATACAGCAAAGGAAGCAATCAACAGAGAAACACCTACAGAATGGGAGAAAATACTGTATTTGCAAACCATATGTCTGATCAGTGGTTAATATCCAAAACGTATAAGGAGTTCAATAGCAAGAAAACAAAGAACCTGATTTTTTTAAGTGGGCAAAGGACCCAGCTAGACATTTCTCAAAAGAAGACATAAAAATATCCAACAGATATATGAAAAAATTTGCAACATCACTAATCATCAGGGAAATGTAAATTAAAACCCCAGTGAGATGTCATCTCATGTCAGTTAGAATGACTTTTATCAAAAAGGTGAAAGATAAGTGTTGGCAAAAATGTGGATAAAAGTGGTCTCTTGCATACTGTTGGTGGAAATATAAATTGTACAGCCATTATGGAAACTAGTATGGAGTTTCCTCAAAAAAATAAAAAATAGAACTACTATAGAACTACTGTATGATCCAGTAATTCCACTACTGGGTATTTATCCAGAGAAAATGAGTCAGCGTATTGAAGAGATACTTGCACTCCCATGTTCATTGCAGTATTATTCACAATAGGCAAGACATGGAATCGACCTAAGTGTCCATCTGCAGATGAATGGATAAAGAAAATGTGGTATACAATCACAACAGAATACTGGTTAGCCTTACAAAAGAAGGAAATCCTGCCATTTGCGACAACATGGTAAACCCGGAGGACATCGTGTTAAGTGGAATAAGCCAAACACAGAAAGGCAAATACCGTATGATCTCACTCAGATGTGGAATCATATATAATTGAAGTCACAGAAGCAGAGTAGAATGGTGGTTACCAGGGGGCTGGGAGTGGGGGGGTTGGGAAGAGCAAAACAAACCATTGCATTTATGACAGCTATTGTTCTGCTTTTTGCCAATATGATGAGTGAAAAACTCTTCTTCTGCATGGTTCTCATTTACATTTCTTTTATTATGAGTGAGGGTCTGCGTTATCATTTGTTAAGCGCCATTTGTATTTTGGTCTCTATGGACTTTCTCTTCATAGTCTTTCAAGACTCTCCCAGCATTATTCTGGGGTGGAGGTGGGCTGAACCCCACCCCAGGTGTAAGGTAGGGAGGCAGCAGGGAGGGAGGAAAAGAGAGAGAGTAAAGCGGGGAGGGGTGTGAGTCTGGGAAGAGGAGGGTGGCAGGCCTTTAATGGGAGGTAACAGAACAATCCTTCTCTCCCCCAGGTCCTGTTCCTCCCAAAGAGCCTAGGGAAGGCAGAGCAGACCTTCATCATCGTGTGTGACAACTGCCAGATAAAGGAACTGGTGATTGTAGGTGGGCTTGCGTGTGTTCCAGGGGTCACTTACTGCAGTGGCCTGGGCAGTGGCACAGCTGTGCCCGCCCTGGGTTCAGGAGCACATGGAGGGGTGCTGCAACCTCTGGGCATCTGGTCTAGTTTGGGACCTTGGAGGCCCACGCCAATGTGGCTGCAAGTCAGTCCAAGGAGCCTTCTAGTGAGAGACAGATGAAAACCTGGGGTGAAATTTTCCACTATTTTCCTTGGAAACTCACTGTCATCCCCTTTAGGGAACTGACAAGGACTCACTTGTAAACAGAGGCACCTCTAGGTTTTTGTATGGTTAGAAGGGACACCCTGCTGAATCGCCCCAAGATTCCCTCCCTCCCTCCTTCCTTCCTGTCCATCCATTTTCACTGGGCAGGCATTAACTGAGTACCTGCTAGGTGCTAGGTTCTCAAAATCACCTCCTCTTGGTCTGTGAAGATGTGAGGACATGAATCTGTATGCTGATGGCCCTCCTTTCACGCTTTGTACACCTCCGGGAATCACGGTCAAGACCAGCTAGATGTGGATGGTGGTGGGGATTCCATGGAGGCCTTGGCCAGAGGCCTGATTTCAGTCCTAGTGAAACTTCATAACGTCCCTGTCCTCCTTTGGCAGGAATTGGGCAGCTGGTTGCTTTGGATCTGATCTATATTTCTGGTGAAAAAAGTCAACCCGACCCCGGAGAGCTCACAGACTTAACAGCCCAGCATTTCATACGATTCGAGCCTGAAAACCTTCTGTCCACAGCCAGGAAACAGCTGATTATTAGAAATGCTACGTGAGTGACCCTTGTGCATGGCCCGATCATACACCCCCTCTCCTTCCTCACCCAGCTCTGAGTTCCCAGTGAGGCAGGAGGTTCCTTCCAAGGCCTAAAGAGGTAGGGGCATCTGGGCACAGAACGAATCCAGAATGGATGGAAGAATCCAGGTTTACACGGTCCATCATGGTAGCCACTAGCCACATGTGGCTATTTAAATTTAAATGTAAATCCATTAAAATTAAATAAAATATAAAATATACTTCCTCAGTGATGCTAGCCACATTTTAAGTACTCAGTAGCTATAGGTAGCTAGTGGCTATCATATTGGACAGTGTGGATATATAAGATGTCCATCACTGCCAGAAGTTATGTTGGATAGTGCTTGCTGTAAGTCACCCTGGACCATCCCTAGCCAGGAACAGTTTACCAGAGAGATCATGGCATGCCCGTGCCAAGTCCCAGGGTCAGACACACTGTGGTCTATGGGTTCAGTTCTCATTGCCTTTTATTTCCTGACCAGCTGCTGAGTACCACCATTACTCCAGAACAGACCTCAGGGAGCCTCCCAGCCAGGGCTGCCCTTGGGACTCCAGGCATTATAGGATTCTGTCACCCAGCAGAACAAGAGACTCATCTGCCATTCCTCCCCTGTGACAACTGCCTGTCAGTAACATGTCTGGAGTCCTGCCCCTCCTACTGCCATGAAATTGTCATTGTCCCTGTTGGCAGCCAGGGCTCAGATCCTTCTGGACACGGCTGTCCTGGAAACCCACAGCTAGAGAGGCAGAGAGCAGGGGTGGGTTTGATGTGGCAGGAGACACAGCAGATCTTCCTGATATCTGGGGGACTGCCTGGACCCCTCCAGTTTGATGATCGGAGCATGATTTTCTGAGTTACCATTTGTCTCAAGTCACCATGGCCCTGACCTATGGGTGGAAAAAGAGAGGCTCTCTTTTATGGGCTCCAGCTTAGACTCCCTGTCCCACCCGCTGGCCCTACTCAGCTTCCCCAGGCTCCTCCACGGGGAGGACTGGAAGGCTGACCTGGTCACTTCCTGTGCTGGGTCCTTTCTTGCTCCCTTGGCAGACCAGGCATGGGATGGGACACCCTGGTCCTGGCAGAACTGGGATGTGGTCTTGGACCCACTGCCCAGCATCAGTGTTGCCCCCCCACCCACGCAGGCACGTGGAGCTGACCTTCTACTGGCAGATCATGAAGCCCAACCTGCAGCCCTTAATGCCTGGAGAAACCTACAGCATGGACACCATCAAATACCACCCAGATGAGGAGACTGCCTTCTCCATCATGCCCGCAAAGGGGGTTCTCAGCCCCCACACGGACCACGAGTTCATCCTGAGCTTCTGTCCTCATGAGGTCAAGATGGTGTCATCTCAGTAGCCACATAGACTTATGGTTGGGTCATGACATTTTGGCTCTCTGCCCGTATTCCTAATGAGATTGGGCCTGCCGAGGTACCCAGCCATCCTGCTGGGGCCAGCACTTAACTAAGACTGTAGCTGGAGCATGTGCCTGGTGTGCCTAGTCCTGATTCCAGACAGAACCCATCTGCAGCAAGACCCCATTCTTAAATCATCAGCTCTGGGCGTCTTCCACACTTCTACTGTGTCAAAGAGCATCACCGTCCCTGTCCGTCCCACAGCAACCCCTAAGAGCATAAGATGCAGGACCCTGAGGTCCAGCTTTGCACAACACGAGCCCCAGTGTGAGGGAAACCCTATATGTCACAGGCGGGCAAGGGCGGAATTCAAGCTGGGCATGAAAAGAACACTCCAGGGCTCTTTCTATGGGCTTGGTTCTAAGATGGATAGGTCTGCCTCTGCATCCAGCATCCAGCCGCCTCCCTGTCTGTCCTGGGAAGGTGTGGTGCTTCAGACACATCGAGGGCATCACCAAAGGGCAATGTCAGCATCAGGAGGGCCTTTCCTTCCTGCTCCCAGACCTGCCTTGTACAGGCTCCTGAGTCATGGCTCGTGGGGAATAGGTGGCAGGGGAAGCAGCCCTGAGTTTTTCAGAAGGTGCTTCTGGTGGCGAGGCCAAGGGGAGGAAGAATTCCTGCCATGGCCCCAGCCTTCTCCTGGACAGCCTGCTGGAATGCAATTGTGTTTTCATGGCTCTGTGTTTGTCTTGCAGCTGAGGGCTTTTCACAGTGTGCTCCAGATGGTGCTAGAAGGAGTCCCAGACCCCATAAAGTGAGTGGGCCCTGGATGAGGGACGGGTGACTGGGCTCTCCCTCCACTTGGGGATTCCTCTGGGGAAGGCACCAGGCAAGGGAGAATGAACAACCTGACCCTAGCAGGCTTTGGGGAGTGGGAGTGTTTTTGCCTTGCCCTGGCAACTTAGGCCTGGAGTAGGTTCAGCGTGTGAGCTCACTGCAAGCCACCCCGAACCTGTGTCCCAGACTCACTGCTACCCTTGGGCAGCTTCTGGTGTGCCCTGCTGAGGGGAGGTTTTGCCCATGGTGTAAATGGTCAGGGTGGGTCTCAGGCAGCCTGCTGTAGAGAGCCCAGGCTGGAGTGCCCCAGGTTGGACCCTGGAGGCAACGGGCTGTGCCTCTGTCCCAGGCCTTAGGCTCTACTGCTGCAGCACTCATCACCTTTCAGGACACTGGCTAATGCCTCTGATTTGTATGTTTGGGGTGGCAGGAGTGAGGGGTGGTGTGGGGGTGTGGGAGGAGAGGGTGCTTGGGAGCTGTGGGTTGGGCAGTGTTTTCTCTTCACAAGTCCAAAGATGTGGGATAGAGGCAAGAGCATGCTCCCGGCTGCGCTGGTTCTCCGCTGACGGGGGCCTCGTGTTCAGTTCAGAATCGGAGAACATGGGACACTCCTCATACTCTGTGGATAATGTGATCGTCCTGGAAATCGAGGTGAAAGGCTCAGTGGAACCTTTCCAGGTTCTTTTAGAACCATACGCCCTCATCATCCCAGGGGAGAACTACATTGGCATAAACGTGAAGAAGGACTTTAAGGTAGGGCATTCTGTCTCCTTCCTGGGCTGGGTGCGAGGTAGGGAGGATAGAGCTGGAAGGTGTGGAGCAGCCACTGCATGGACGCTGAGGCTGTGCCCCTGAGCCCCACTTGGCTTACACAGGTGCCTGGGCCAGACATATCTGTCTTCTTTTTTTTTTTTTAGCAGGATTTATTGAGAGGACAGAAAAACTCCCACAATGGGAGGGGACCTGAGGGGTTGCCCACGTCTGTCTTCTTTTATCAGCTTTCTAGAATCCTCTGAGAGTTAGGGCCATGGAACCTGTTCTCATCTTTGGCAGAATATGGTGCCTGTGTATACTGCAGCATGGAGTGAGGGTGCTATTGGGTTGGGAAGTCCATGGTTTTGGGTGGCCTGGAATTATCTGGGAGGTGTCCAGTGGACCCTTGGTGAGCCCACAACCCCACAGTCCTTCAGCAGGTACAGAATTGACATGAAAGGCCAGTACCATACCTGGGCAGCCTGGATTGGGGTGTGTCTTTCAGATGTGGAACAACAGCAAGTCACCCATCAGATACATGTGGGGAAAGATCAGTGACTGCCACATCATTGAAGTGGAACCCTGCACAGGGGTCATAGGTACCCTGGGGACTGCAGGAGGGGTTGTGACCTGCCAGGGGCTGACTGGGGGTGGAGTCTTCAGAGCTTAAGGGACTTGGGAGGGTTCTTGGTTCCTGGCTCCAGCCACAGCCTGGGATATGTGGTGAATGGAGAGGTCAATGAAGACCAGTCATCTGGGCCAACCATAGAAGGACACTGCTGCCAGGCATGGTGGCTCACGCCTGTAATCCCAGTACCTTGGAAGATGGAGGTGAGAGGATTACCTGAGTCCAAGGGTTAGAGACCAGCTGGGCAACTTGGAGAGACCTTGTTTCTACAATAAATAAAAAAATTTAACCAGGCATGGTGGGGTACACCTGTGGTTCCAGCTACTTGGAAGGCTGAGGCAGAAGGATTGCCTGAGCCCAGCAGGTCGAGGCTGCAGTGGCTGTGAGCGTGCCACTGCACTCCAGTTTGGGGAATAGAGTGAGACTCCAACTCAAAGAAAGGAGGATACTGCCCCTGCTTCTCTTCTCCACCTCTTACTTTGCCTCTCTCCCAGAACCCAATGAGGTTGGTGATTTTGAGTTGAACTTCACTGGAGGCGTCCCTGGCCCTGCAAGCCAGGACCTGCTGTGTGAAATAACAAACTCGCCGTCACCAGTGGTGTTACACATTGAGGCGGCCTTTAAGGTGCTGCAGGTGGAGGCTGGGCAGCTGGGTGGGCCCAGAAAGGTGGCAGGGGTAGGACACAGAACCCATCCCCAGGTGGCCCAGTGACAGGCTCCTCTGGATGTCTCAGGGGCCTGCCCTCATCATCGACATCTCAGCCCTTCAGTTTGGCCTGCTCCGCCTGGGACAGAAAGCCACAGACTCCGTCTACATCCGGAACGTCAGCCAGCTCCCAGCCACGTGGCACATGAAGGAGAGCCCTGTCTGCCTTGAAGAAAGGCCTGAGGATGTAAGTTGGGCACCAGGGGCTTTTCTGGTGCCCCCTACCCCCACCCAACGAGACAGTTGAACTTGAACTTGTGTTAGGTTTCAGCAGTGAAACTTGCACACGCACCTTCCGATCAGAGCTTTGAGGCTGGGAGAGGGAAAGGCCACTGGTGACTTTGACCTGGCGGTGCCTCTGTTTTCACCATCACTGAGGCAGCCAGATTTAACCCCACACCCGTGGTCCCTGTACCTTTTTCTACCATTGAATTCAGAAATAGGACGGGGGTTTCTCCTTCATCAGCGCAGTCTGTGTCAGGAAGAAAATGGGCAGCTGAGTTGGGCGAGAAGCCTCCAAGACTGCTGTTGCTAAGGGCCACGTTCCAGCCTCTGCCTCACTCTCCAGAAGATTCTGGCCCATGCCTGCAGTTTGAATACCTGCCACCAGGCGGTGCTTGGACACTGGCCTGTGGCCCAAACCCAGAGGCTCCCAAAAGGAGATTCAAGATTCGTTTCCATTCAAATAACACTTTTCTTTTCACTATAAAAGTAGAAAAAAGTGACTAAGTATTATTGTAATCATATTTAAATTGTGTCATCACATTTAAATACGATGGGTGATCTGGAGCAAGGCAAAGTCACAAAGCATCAGTTACTCCCTCACTGCTGCAGTGAGCTGTGGGTCACAGCCTCTTCATCACCCCTGAAGGCTGCAGCTCCCCAGTCATGTGTACCTGTGAGACCCTGGCCAAGCCTGTTTGGTGACTGCACTCTCCCTCTGGCTGCTTCCTAACAAGGTCCCCAGCCTGCTTGCCCACTTGCCTTCTGAGTCAGAACACTGCATGCGTCTCCTTCCTTTCAGAAGCGGAGGAAGACAGCCCAGTTCCCTTTCTGTGGGACTTTCCATTCAGGACACCTTTGCTCCTTTACCCAACAGCCTACTGCTCTGGTTGGGTGTTTTGAAACTTTAGATGTGAATAACAATTTGGATCGACTCACCAAGGCCATTGCCAAGTGCCTGTTACACAGGTTTGGAGTTAGCATTTTCCCTCCCAGGGCTCCTTGGTCTCCCAGGATGGGGCCTGGAACCATAGAAGATCAGGGCCGGGACTGGGAGTGGGTGGTATCAGTATCTTTAGTGTCCACATTATGTTTAGGCAGGAACCTTTTCTTCAAATGAAACTTTATGAGGAAGCCAGTATAGAGAATAAAGCACGAGGGCCCTGGCCACCCAGAGATGCCCTTGTAAGGTAGGCATCCGACCCCATCCTACCTCTCCTCACAGCCCAGTCCCCTGCACGTCCCAGGAATTCCCGGGATTTTCCAGAGCACAGTCTGAAGCTTACAGATTTCAGCCAACCTCCTCATTTGGTGGAGGAGAACAGGAAGGAGTGAGGCTTCCCCAGAGTTGCACAGCTAATAGGGAGTGGCATTATATCCCACCCCTGTTCTCTAGTTCCCAGTCTGTGTTGTTCTCCCACTGTGAAGAATGACTACATTTTATAATGGAAACAATTGTCAGTTTTACATTATTTTAAGATTTATGTCATCATTGTTGATGAAAGCTGCTAAACTCAGTAAAATATGTAAGCTGGTTTACTCAGAGCCAAATATGAGTGACCTTGGCTTGTGACATCTGTCCTCAGAAGGTCCTGAAAATGTGCACCTACTCTGGTTGCATTGTAGCTTGGTTATATACATTTTAGGAGGACAGAAAACCATAAGTCAATACATGAGCGTTTACATTGGTCTGGGAAGACAGGATATCGCTAAAAAAGGGCTTGCAAGTTATAGATGGATTCAAAGGTTTCCTGACTGGCAATTAGTAGCAAGAGTTGGGCTCTCAACTGAGGAATTTTGAAATCAGCTGAGATGTCCTATTGAGAGAGAGGGGTGGAGAAATTCCAAGTTTCTTAATATGTAGATGAAGCTTCATAGGTGGCAGACTTCAGAGAGAATAGGTAAGTGTCTTAAAAGGTGACCAGAATCTTGGAATCCCCAAGAGACAGCTTTATAGAATCATAAAACACTTTGGCTTTCCTTCTTTATTTTTATATGATGTTATGACAGAGTCAGATTAGAAAGTAAACTACATCATCTAGGAAGAGTTAATAAAAAACCTGTTCCCCAGGTCCTTAGTTAGGAACTTGGCAAGGTACAGAAAAAAGGTCAGAGTTTAGTCCTCATTATCAAGGCTGATGGGAATCTTTTCTGCAGTTTTCTGGACTCTATTCTTTTGAGCTCTCAAAACCAATGTTGGGATTTGGGGTTTGGTAGATACTCTCAGGGTAAGGGACGCAGAGCTACTGAAACCCATGCCAGGCTATGGCCACCCCCAGAGCTCTAGGCCTCCAGGGGAGATACACACAAGTAATCAAGACAAAATAAAGCAAAGTGCCTCTTTTTTTAAACATATTTTTTATTTTAAAATTGTGGGGTACAGTTAAGGGTTAGGTATACAAATATGCATTGTGCAGGTACCCTTGTTGATG